AGCATTTTCTTGTTTTCTCCTATGTTGTTTTCTTTCCTCCTTCTTTCTTTATTTCTTTCTCATTTTTTCCATTTGAGTGAAAGCTTAGAAATCATATTGCTTTTCCATTTAATCTTGCATAGACATTTTTTATAACATTAAAACTGATGTTTAAATAGTGCTGATCTATTCTGTTTACTACATGTATGGGGATATTATGAAGTAATTTTTCAATTAATTATACATATATTTTGGGGGTTTTGGTGTGTTTTTTTGTTAGTTACACCTCTTGTTTAGAGTTAACAAGACCTCGTGGAAGGCCTTTGTATTTCAAAGTCAGTTATTATTATGTTTTGGAGAAACATTCTTCTAAGTGGTACAGCACTCTTCTGTCAATATGCTGTACTGAGGTAACCTGGGGTTGCTGTGATGCTGAACCTTGTGCCATTGGAGGTCAAATGCCATAATGACTGCACATGGTGGACAGTGTTTGGTGGAGTCTTATTTTTTTTATTTTATTTTAAATTGTTTTTTTAAAATTTTTTTTTTAAATCGGCTTTTTCTTGTATATTGGTTTGCTTAGAAAATTTATATATATTGTTTTTTGCACATTCTTCACACGTATTGTGCTACATAATTATACATAACTACATAATTTCCATGAATGATGTCTTATAAAAGTAGTCACTATTGATCTATGCCTACTATTACCCCGTCTTTTCAGATCCCCACTGGATCTTTCCTAATTTCTTCACTCTCTTCCTTCACCCACCAAACTCTGTGACCTCGTGATTTCCTCCTATCCCTACCTACCACCAGCCCTGCCACCCTTCCCCTTCCCCCCTTTAAATGTTTATGCACATCTTACTAGTTATCCTTCTATTTTTATATCAATGGTCTTATGCAGAATTGGTTCTTATGAGGCAGTTAATTCAGTCAGCATAATGCTCTCTAAACTCTTATAAATTATTTAGTGTTTTTTCAAATCATTGCTCCTGAGTGCTGTATAGTATTCCATCACGTGAATGTAGCACAATTTGTCAATCCATTCCTTTGTTAATAGGTATTTGGGCTTTTTCGATTTTCTTGCTGCTGTGAATAACACTGCTATGAACATTAGGGTGTAAATCTCTGTGTTTCAGTCCTATTGTCCTAGGGGTATATTCCTAGCAGTAGACAGAGTCATATGTAATTTCTTCATTCAGCTTTTGAGGAAACTGCCTTCGAGAGTGGTTGTACCATATTACAATTCCACCAACAGTGCATAAGAGTTCCAATCTATCCACATCCTCTCTGGTATTTATTGCTTGCTTTCCTATTAAACTTTTCCACTGCTACAGACTTGAGATGGTATCTCATTGTGTTATTGATTTGCATTTCTTTTGTTGCCAGTGATTTGGAACATTTCTTCATGTGTCTGTTGGCCATCTAAGTATCTTCATCTATGAAAATTCTTTCCATCTCTTTTTCCCATTTTGTAATTGTGTTATCAGTCTTTTTCTTATGGAGGTCCTATAAACTTTGATTGTGAGACCTTGACTGAAATATCAATGCCAAATGTTTTTCCCCAGTCACTCATGCTTTCTTTTCACCCTACTGAAAAAAAGGTTTTGATGTGCATAATGGCTTAACCCTTAGAAGGTCCTATTTAAGGTTATTATCATCTCCTGATTGTGCATTTCTGGCTGTACTCACCAGCCTACTTATACCATAGGCTGGGTCTTCCAAGTTTGGTCTCATTTTGTCTCTTATTATATTTATGGTTTTGGGCTTTACCAGTATATCTCTGATCCACCTTGAGTTGATCATTGTATGTAGAGTGAGATGTGGATCCTGCTTCAACTTTCAGCAGATTGTTGTTGTTGCTGTTGTTGTTGTTGTTTTTATGTGCCGTTGAGTCACTTGTGACTCGTAGTGAACCTATGTACAACAGCCCTAAACCCTGCTCTATCTTGTCCCAATTGCACTGCCTCCAACACACCCATCTCAATTTCCCCAGTCACTGAATCAATCTACCTCATAGAGGGCCTTCCCCTCCAGTGCTGTCCCTCCACCCTACCAGGCATGATGTCCGTCTCCAAGAACCAGTTCCTCCTTACAACATGTCCAAAGTATGTCAGGTGAAACCTCAGAATTCTTGCCTCCAAGGAGCAGCTGGTTTAACCTTCTCCAGGATGAATCTGTTTTCTTAGCAGTCCATGGTACACTCAATACTCTTCTCAGCACCACAACTCAAAGGCATTAATTCTCCTTCTATCCTCTGCAGTCATTGTCCAACTCTCTGATACATAACAAGTGATTGCAAAGACCATGGCTTGTGTCAGACAGTCCAGTTTTTCCAGCATCATTTGTTGATGAGATTGTCATTTCCCCATTTGATAGGTTTTGCTTATTTGTTGAATACCAGTAGATCCTAGGTAAATGAATTACTTTCTGGATTCTTGAGTCTCTTCCTTTGTTCTGTGTGTCTATTTGGTAATTAAGGCTGTGTAGTAATTCTGAGATTAAAGAATGCTATGCCTCCCACTACATTATTGTTTTTCAGAAGAGCTTTGCTTATTTGAGATGTCTTTCTTTTCCAAATAAACTAAGTTATTGCCTTTTCCATCACTTTGAAAAATGAATTTAGTATCTTGGAGAAAGATATCATGCTTGGAAGGGTGGAGGGACAACACAGAAGAGGAAGACTCTGGATGGGATGGGTTGGCATGGTAACTGCGATAATGGATGTAGGTGTGTCAGAGACACCTCAAAACGGGGTGAGGTTCAAAGGTATTGTACATAAGGTCACTATGAGTCTTAGGTGACTAAATGGCACATAACAACAAAAACCCAGTTGGAATTTCATTAAACCTGTATATGGCTTTGAGTAGATTTTCACTTTTCACTGAATTGAATCTCACTCTCTGTGCACAAGTAATATTTTTCATTTATTTAGGTCTCTTATTGTCTTACAGTAGTTTTGTAGGTTGTTTTGTTTTTAAAGGTCTTTTGTGTTTCTTATTAGATTTATTCCCAAGTATCTCAATTTGTGGCTGGCTAGTGTAAATGATATTGCTTTCTTAGTTTTCTTCTCTGTGTTTTCTTTTTTACTGTAGAGGAATCCTACAGATATTCATATATTGATATGATATCTTTCCACTCTATTAAATTGATCTACTAGATTTAACAGGTTTTTTGTTAAGTCTTTGATATTTTCTTTGTATATACCATATTGTCTTCAGCTGCCTTTTTGAATCATATATTGATAGATAGCTCTCAGGAGAGCACTCTTTCCTGGTGATATTGTTTACCTTAAAGGTCTGTCGATGGCTTGGTTGAAAATTGAACCATGGGGGTGAGTTTGCTTTGAGGACTGTAGATTGACTAAGGGCTAGAGTTAATGAGTTCTATGAATTTCTGTTAGACATGTAAACTAGATCTTTTTGCAGCATTTAATGTGTAGTTGTTTGATGTTCAAGAAGAGTAGGTATAATTTTAAGTAAAACCAATATGTTTCTGTCAGCCAGACGCATCTAAAAATGAGCAGGTTTTGATGATATATAACTGCAGCCTTCAATATGGATTGCATCTCAACACCAAGAAAAGAAATATCCTTGTCACTGGACTGATAGACAATATCATAATAGGCAGAGAAAAGATTGAGACTGTAAACAACTTCATCTTCCTTGAATCCACAATCGCCTGCTACTGGCAATCAGGAGATCAGGAAAAGTATTGTGCTAGGAAAGTCTGAAGTCAGGGACCTTTCCTTATTATTGAGGAGCAGTGAAGTTAGTTTGAGGACCAAGATGCCTAATTCAGGCCATGGTCTTTTCAATCACTTGTTATGCATCTGAAAGCTGGTTAATGAATAAGGATGACAGAAGAATTGATGCCTTTGAACTGTGGTGTTGGAGAATAGTGCTAAAGATAGCATGAACTGCCAAAAGAACAAACAGATGCACCTTGTAGAAGGTGTAGCCAGATTGTTCCTTGGAAGCACATAGAGTTAAGTTTCATCTCACATACTTTGGGCATATTATTAAGAGAAGTTATTCCTTGGAGAAAGGCATCATGCTTGGGAAGGTAAAGGGTTGAAGAAAGAGAAGAAGACCCTCCACCAAGTGGGTTAACTTGGTGACTGTGGCAACAGGCTTGCGTGTGTCAGAGATTATGAGGATGGCATGAGTAAAGACAATGTTTAGATCAATTATTATAAGTCCTCCTTGACTTGATGCCATCTAACAACAACAAAGTTGGACTTGAAGATCAAATCTTATAATTTTCTGATTTGTATACATCAGCATGACCATGTGAGAAATGAACAGTAAAGTCAGTAGAATAAGGATCCATAAAAGGGAAAATGTTAAATAGACAAGAAGTAACTTGACAATGTAATTGGCATTGTGTCTTCTTCATCAAAATACCTGTTCAAAACCCTGGGTTCGAGGTACCTATTAATTAATTAATAATTATCTCATTGATTGCCTGAATTTCAAGTGTGACAATGTATTACCTTTATTTGAGGAACTAGACTTTATAATTTTCTATAGATGCTTGTCTTCTTATTACTTTGTAACAAGATGTGCACACACAAAGTCATTCCTCTATTCACTCATTCAGAATCCATTTTCTGGATATCCTCCAAAGTCACAGAACTATCAGAGACTTAGCAAGAAATGGAGCATCAAAAAATAATCTGTTTAAAAGGGATTAGATATTATTGCTCTAACAGGAGTCTAGAACAAAGGTAGCATAGTGAAGTGGACTTGGGGGGAGGGACTGAATAACAATGAAAGAATTTTTTTCTTTTACTTTTCAAAAAGAAAAGCTAATTGGGGGCGGGGGGAAGGGAGAAAAGTACAATGAATGAATGGAAATCCAAAGTCTCTGGAAACTTTCATTAAAATAAAATTTTTTAAAAACCATAATCTGATTCTTACACATACTCAGAATCTAACAAAGCAAATATTACATTAATTCTTAGAGATTACCAAGAAAACCTATTTCAACAATATTAAATATTAATTCTATTCCAGGTGTCTGCAGTGTCGTGCTGTCATAAAGCGTATGGTGTAAGTGTCCTTATAGGAGCCCCTCCTGCTACAAAAAACCTCAAGATAAACCCTATGTTGCTATTGACTGGACGCACCTGGAAAGGAGCAGTTTTTGGTGGTATGTAGTTAGACTGGAGGACCAAATTACATCATTTTAAGATTTTCGACTTCAAGTAATTTGAAACTCTTATTGAATCTACAGGCTCCAAGTCAGCTGTTGCAAGGTGCTATAAGCTGATATCCACCCCCAGTAGCCACATGTGTCAGAGTCAAACTATTCACAAAGACTTTCAAAACTGTCATATTTATAGGAGCAGCTTGTTAGATGTTTTCTTCCACAGAGCTACTTGATATGTTTGAACGACCAATATTTAGGTTACTAGCCAGTGCTTAACCATCATTCCACCAAAGTTTCTTTCCAAATCAACTAGTTGCAGAAGTAACGGAGGCAGATCATTCTTGGGAAGTCTTTCTGGTGTTCCCAGAGAGTAATGATGCCCTTTCAACTTTTCTAATGTGTCTGCAGGCCATCAAATGCTTACTAACAACCAAAGAGTTGCCTTCAATTTGATTTTAACTCATGTTGATCTCAATGTGTCGGAGTTATGTCCCAATGGTTGACTTTTCAGAAGTCAATGGGGCTTTCTTTAGTGGCATCATTAAGTGGATTCAAACATTCAACCTATGGTTAGCAGCCAAATTTTTAACTATTTCTACCAACAACTCCAAAATACCTTATTATTTTTGTTGTTAGGCATTGTCAAGTCAACCACGAATCGTAGTGACCCATAAACAGCAGAACTAAGACCTGCCCTATTTTGCCCTGACCTTACTATCCCTGCTATAAAAGATATACTCTAGAGTGTTGTTTCAGTCATTGTGTCAATACAGCTCACTGAGGGGATGGATTCCTTCTCTTTCACGGACTCTCCACCTTTTCCAAGGACTGGCCTCTTCTAATAATATGTCAAAGTATGTGAGATGAAGTTTCAACATCTTTCCTTTTCCATCTATATCTTCTCCAAGATATATTTGTTTGTGTTTTTTGGCAGTCCGTGGGATAGTCAACACTCTTCTTCAACATCCCAATTCAAAGGAATCAATTCTTCTACTGTCATCTTTAGTCAATGTCCAGCTTTCTGGTGCACAGGAAGAAACTGAAAAGACCATGCCTTGTGTCAGGAGTGACTTAGTCCTCAAACTGAGATCATTGTTCCTTAGTACCACGGATAAGTTGTAGTAGTAATTGTTGTTATAGTTGTTTGTTATGTGTCATCAAGTCAGCTAGAACTCATACCAATCTTATGAACAATGGCTCTGGACCTTGTTCTATTCTGCATCAAGTTCACCATCTCTGACACAACTGTCCCCATTGCACAGTCATTGGGTCAATCCATCTCACCCAGGGTCTTCCTATTCTCCACTCAACCTCTACTCTTCCAGGCATGAAGGCCTTCTCAAAGGACTTGTCCATACAAATGGCATACCCAAAATATGGGAGACAGAGCTTCAAAATCATTGCCTCTCACTTTCTCAAAAAATTGCAAATAGAGATACCATTTGACCCAGCAATCCCATTACTGGGAATATACCCCAGAGAGACCATGTCTGCCCTCCAAGCAGATATATGCACACCCATGTTTATTGCAGGTTTGTTTACAATAGCAAAGAGTTGGAAGCAGCCTAAGGGCCCATGAACAAATGAATGGATAGAGAAGCTGTGGTATACCCACACAATGGAATACTAAGCAGCACTGAAAAACAAGGAACTCATGCAATACTATTCAAAGTGGGTAACCCTGGAGAACATTATGCTGAGTGAAATATCTCAGTCACAAAGGGACAAATACTGCATGGTCCCACTGTTGTAGAATGGGTCTGACATCAGGGTGGGGGTATGACAGAAAAAACTGGATAAATTATGTATATTGTATTGAAACAGATGAGGGAAAGAACAGATTAGAAGTGATATATGATTGAGTATTACGGTTAGCACAGGAATCCAGAATTAAGGTTGCATAGAGAAGTGTTCTTGGGGTGGGGGTGGGGGGCAGGGACGTGGGAATTGTATACTAATGAAGGAATTTTTTTCTCTCTCTCTTCGGAGGGGGAAGCAAGCTGAGAAGGGTGGGCAGGGAAAAAATTGTGGCAACGAATGAATGGAAATCCAAAACCTCTGTAAAAAAAAAAAAAAGTGTATAGACAGAACAATTTAGAAATTTCCAGGGGTGGGAAAGAAGTAGAGGAAAAAGATGGCTTACTTGTTTAGGGGTCACTGAGCTTCTATTAAGGATGCTGAGAAAGTTTGTAAATGGATAACTGTATTGACTGAAAAACATGATAAAGTAAACTAATGTCAATGAAATAAAATTAAATGTCAACGAAAAAAAAAAAAATCATTGCCTCTAAGGAGCAAACTTGTTTCACTTTCTCCAGGATAAGTAATAGGACCCAGGAAATACACAGCAATGGTCCACATCTACATTATGCCCACTAAATGTTATTCTTGACTTGGGGCATAATCATCTGTATTATAATTCATCTATGAGAGATCTAACAACTAAAAGCTCTAGTTTATCTGAGGGTAGAGGGAGTATTTAGACAAGAAACAAAACAGACTTATATAGTAAATATAGAAATGAGACTAAATGTGTCAGAGACAATGAGATTGGCTCAGGATAGAGCAGAGTTCAGAACTATTGTAGGAAACAGCATCAGAATCAACTTGAAGGCAGATAACAACACTACTCCTTACTAATGCAGTAACAGAAGTGGTCTGTGGAATACAATAGTTTTTATATTCATTTTCATTCTATTTAGAAAGTCTTCTGCATAATTATCTTACATCCTCCTAGTTGGAACTGACAATATCCTTTTCTTTTTTGCAGGTTACAAAGGTAAAGATTCTATCCCAAAACTAGTAGCTGACTTCATGGCCAAAAAGTTTCCATTGGAATCAATAATAACCCATGTTTTACCTTTTGAAAAAATAACAGAAGGGTTAGAGCTTCTTCGCTCAGGAAAGAGGTAATTTCCGTTTTGAGTTGGTTTTTTTTTTTTTCTTTTTGTTTGATTGGGTTTGTTTGTTTGTTTGTTTTTTCATGACCAGGAGGTGGTTCTAGCAAAAGTTTGGGATTATTTTCCTCAAAGATATGACTCATTTGTGAGGAAACAGAAAGATGAGAAAAACATTAAATACATTGATCTTTCTGTGACTAATTCAAATATTTACTTAATATCTTACTGTGAAAAACTAGGAAAAGTCCCTTTGCAATTCCTATTTTTCTAAAATAAAATTATGCTGTTACCATGACTCAGAATGATCAGAGTCACTGTCTTTTTAAAGAACAGTCACCCTTGCAAGGAGAAGAATCAGAATCACGTAGTGAGAATAATCATAGAGTCTGGCCAGCTTCCTCCTGGCTCACCATGTTTGTTGTTGCTAGATGCCACCAAGTCAACTATGACTCATCGTAACCTTGTGAACAGCAGAGCTGGTCCTATGGCTATCTTGTGCTATTCATACAATCTCTGTCATTGTTACACTAACTACGTCAATCCATCTTGTTAAAGATCTTCCTTTCTTTCTCTGACCCTTCACTTTTCCCATCTTGATGTCTTTTCACAAAGACTGCCCCTCCTAACAACATTCGCAAAATATGTGAGACAGAATTTCACCATCCTTTTTTTTTTTTCACATTTAGCAATTTTATTCCATTTTCTAGCAGACGATTTACATACCTGCCCCCTTTCCAATATCAATTGTTTAAAGAGAAGCTTTGGTCAAAAATGGAATCAAACAGGCCAGGGGGATAAGTCTTTGCTGCTTTTAAAATATCAACACTTTCACAGTTCTCACACACATCACACATGCCCACACACGGGATCATCTGCACGGTGGTGTTTTCAGTGTTTCGTGCGGGCGGGGAGGCAGGCAGCTGCAGCTGGTCATGCTGGCTCAGTCTCCGAGGTTTGCTCAGCTTCACATTATTCGGAGGCCCTGGATGGAAGACTCCAAGGTCTTGAAATCCCAAATTGTCATGGCTCCATCGATGCCAGTGGTGCAGAATTTACGACAGTCTTGCTTGTCCACCTCATAAATGGACACCTGAGTGCTGCTATTCTGGTGCAGCGTTTCCAAAGCCGTGTTGCGGTCCTCGGTGGTGGCCCGCTTGTCCATGTTGCGGAAGCGTTCCATGGCAGACATGTTGCGCTGGATGCTCTGTTCAGAATGTCCAGTTTGGAGACGAAGGTCAAGCAGCCACGGTCGTCATAGTTGAAGAGCATTGGGCAGCAGTCATGACCAGCAGCCACGACGCTGTTCTCCGACACAAATGACACGCTCAGGAGGGGCAAGAACTCCGCCTTCAGAGTGGAGACCTGCACGCTTTTGGAGGCATCGGCTACGGACACGGTGCTGTCGTGGCTGACCCAGGCCAGGCGGCTCCCGCTGGCGGAGAAGCTGACACCGTGGACCCAGCCGCCCGTGCCACTGCCACCAAACTCGGACATCAGCTGGCCAAAAGGCATCTTGCTGCCCCATGGTGTACT